AGTCTCCCTTTGCCTGTGCCAGGAGGAGAGCAGGGGGTTGCAGAACAGGCCAGAGATTGAAGGAAGCTCTGAATATGTAGCTTAGAGGGCTGGAAAGCAGCTGTGACTTGTTTTTGTTGGTGTTCTTGACACCGGCAGATGGGCACCAAAGAAAACTGAGTTGTGGGAGAGAACAAGGAAAGCCCAGAATTGGGGCAAGGGAAGCAGCGAGCAGAGGAGCACAGGGAGCCGCGTGGGCTGTCCAGCCTCCTCCTTCCATTCTCCAGTGCTGCCAAAATCCAAGAGCTAAATTCACCCTTTGCAGTTAAACCCCGAGCTGCATGGAGCGCAGTTAACCACAGCTCCTGACTCCGGTTTCGGGTCCCTGTGCGATGCCAGTTGAGTGGATTCTCCACCCACGCCACCAGGAAAAGAAAACAGACGGGACGTACAGCACAGCCCTTCAGCACGGAGCAGTTGCTGCTGTCTCAGGAGCTGCTAGGAACCAGGACAGGCCGGAGCTGTGGCTCTCATCCCACCGTGGGACATGGGGACAGGGGGAGCAGGAAGCCTGTCAGCCCTGGGAACAACTGCTTGGCTTGGCAACAAGCATGCTGCTGACTGGTCTTTTTTTCCCTTCCTTCATTGCCACCCAGCATAAAAAGCTGCCTTTTTTTCTTTCCTTTTTTTTTCCTCTGCTCGTGGCCTGGCTCCTTTTCAAATTCCCGGAGAAAAGTATTTATCTGCTTTATGAATGATGACATCCGGCCAAACCCCAGACATGCCATCGCGTCTGACCAAGCGCAGCCGTCTATCACAGCCCTCATATCACTATTGCTAAGCTGGCAGCGTGACAGCACGCAGGGCTGGGGAAGTGGCTCCCACCAATCTCTCCAGAGGAGAGAGTCAAGGACTTTTATTAATTAGCATTTTGAATTGTAGCTAATAAATACCCCTGGAGCATTCAGGCTGGAATACGGAACACAACAGAGACGTCCTTGAGACACTGGCGTTTTGCTGCCGGGGACAAATGGACAAAAGTCACCTGCTAATTCCTGCACACCCGCCTCTCCTGCCAGGAGAGGGGCCAGCAGATGGAGGCAGCTCGACCCTCTCTCGGATTCAGCGTTGTATCCCTGGTTCGCCTGGCCAGCCCGGCCCACGCTCCCAAACACAGAGCGACCACTGCGCGCTCCGCGCGCACCCCAGAGCTGCTCGGCAGCGCACAGGATGCTGCAGGAGGTACCCGAGCACAGCCCCAGCGACAGACACGCTCCTTGGGACGATGCTTTGGGCCGCTGCCTCTTTTCTCCTTCCTCCGTGCGCTGCAGGGAGACACAGTGCACATAGCAAGGCGGCAATGTAGACATGCGCAGCCCACTAGCAGCAACAGCTCCGCGCACAGGCGAGCGCGGCGCGTGCACCATTCATGGGGTGGCCCTGGGGTGTCCGGGGGGCTCCACACCTAAATTCGCTCCTCGTTCTGGCTACAGCCTTCGCCCTGCCTGGTTTCAGGCCAGCACCTGGCTTGGTCTACAGGATCAAAGTACCCATAAAAACGGGCGCAAGACTGAAAGGGAGCACCCAGGGGCTGTTAACACTGCAGCATATCCCCATCCAACGTCCTTGCATGCTCATCCTTCTCCTGGTGTCTCTTTCCTGTTCCTGAGCTGCTGCCTTAGCTGACAGACACGGGCAGGGTGGCAGGTTAAGTGGCAGGCGCTGGCCAGAGCAGGATGGATGAGGACGCCAGCCGACAGCTCGTGATTAGTTAATGGGCTCCGGGGCCCGCGGAGCAATTTCATCAAGCGACTGCTCTCTGTGCAAGGAAGGACGACAGGCCAAGTGAGGGGAAATGGGAGCCAGAAGAGCCAAGTGGGGGGGGCGGGCAGAGGGGAATTAAGTGGGTGCATAAAAAAAAAATAAAACCCAGGGAAACGATATCATCCACACTTAGCTGGAGACCTTAAAGACTCAGCGTTCATTCTCAGAGGAGAACAACAAAATCCTGTTATCTACTTCCACATACCCTTCCAATACAGAATGATGTCAAATCAATTTACTGCCTTCCCTTGCACAATTAATCAAGCCTCTTCCATTGCTCAACCTTTGGTAGAGCTGCACATCGTGTCACATGCAGCATAAGAACAGAGAGCAGCATAGCAGGAGGCAGAGGCGTGGGTCAGATTTATGCTGCTGGTGATTAAGAAGAGATGGGTGGCTCCTGTCCAAAGCAGCTCATAGTCACAAGACTTATAACCACACAGGGTTGCGTAAGGCACGCGAGATTCCTTGCAAACGTTCCTTGTTTTGAATGGAAAGCAAGAGTCAGGAGTATGTTATGGATGGCTCACAGAACTGGCTAAGGGAAGGAGCCCTTCAAACGAGGCAGAGGCTGTTAGGAACTGAAGTCAATTCTAACTTAGCAGTTCCCATGTGAAACGAGGCTTTTCAGACTGACCATGTTTTTAGTAGCAGTACGTACAGGACTGTGGCAGGCTCAGGGGCGAAACCAACCTTACATGGGATTCTGGAGAAGCACTTCCACTTCCCCACTGGAGAAGACTAATCCTGGAGTCAGTTGAGCAAGACGTGTCCAGGTGAAATTGCACAGCCCCCTCTCCAAGGATATCATGGAAGCATCCACATCCCAGACCCATGAGTTGTGAAGGGATCTGACTATGGACGCCAGACTCGCTCACAGAGGCCGGGCACCCCAAAGCGGTTTGCTTTTCTTTGCTGCCCCAGCAGTAGTTCAGAGGAGCTGCTGCCCAACCAACTTACTCTTTGGGGGGAGTCAAATCGTCAGGTCTTGTCTCAAAGAACTGAAGAACCTCCTCACACTGAGAGATGTAGGGAGGCAGCTGGATCAGAGCCTGTGGATGAAACAGAGACACTGATGACACGAAGCACAGCTCTCAAGGAACCAAAATCACAAGGGACAAAGTCACAATGCTGAAAGACTTGGCACATCCCCAGGCCCCAGCAAACAAGGTGCACAGAGCCATGGAGGACAACACGCACCAGCTTGGAGCAAGCCACACACAGCTGGACACCAGCTACCAACTCGGGGAATAAGCAGAGGCTTCCCAGGTCCACCTAGGGCTGCTCTGGTCTGTTGGACAGACACATCCTTGCAGCGCAGGAGTCCGGGGCTGCCCATCCTGACCAGCACTGCCCAAGCAAAGCAGGGCTGTGCTTCCCACTGCTCCCAGCCACACTATGTGCACAGAGCTGTTTTTCTTTCCTCCGGAAAGGATAAGCGCTTCATACACAGCACCTTCTCACTCCCATCAGTTCTGATTGTCACACCACAGCAATTGTCTATCGGGCAATGATGACTTCGGAGGAGGCAGAGAGAGGAGGAAGGAGAGGGAAGAGAGTGGGGACCAGCTTGCCAGGGCAAAGGCTGGAAGGAGGC